GCTGTCTCAGCACACAAACATGTTGTAGGCAAAATGTTACTTAATACATGTGTGCGCTAAGTCATTGATAGAAATCGGAAAACGTGGTAAAGAATTATCGCTGCATAGGTATATATAAAAAAATATTCAAACGAATTGGGAACCTCCTCCTTTTTTTAAAGTCGGCTAATAAAACTATGTATAAAAGTGACAATGGCGGTAACTAATATTCTTAAGAATGATAATTTATCCATATATTAAATAATGTAGTCAGTTTACTCAATCAAAGAATAAAACTATATAATCAATACCACATCAATTTTATTAAATTTAAATCCAGGAACGACTAGTTTTGGCCTCACAGGGTCATCTTCAGGCCTGTAATTCAAGAATCCTTAGTAGTAATAGGAAAAATATAAGAATAGATAGAACACTTTTATTAAACTCAAATAGTTAACATGAGTCCATATTGTAGCGTTACAGTAGATTAAGCAATTGCGGATGAAATTTAATTTAAAATTTCTTATGGTAACTAGTTAAAATAATAAGTGGCGATATATAGGCATTCCTTGTTAATAATACTTCGAAAAAAAGAGTCTGGCGAAAGATTTTCCTCTGCAAATATTGAGAGGCAACCCCTTGAAAAGTACTAACGGTGGGAAGGTAGATCCTACTTGGACCAATGTAAGGAAAACAAGAAAAACTTGAAGGTGGAACGTAGATGGATGTTTTATCACTATTTATTCCGTACCCATATTTTTAGGTAAGCTAAGTTAAGTTTGCAATACTCATCTAATTTTCCACCTCCACATATTTAATTGTATACTACTGTAATGTTACAATATAGATTCATGTTAAGTACTTTATATAAATATTTTCCGAGTAACAGTTTGTAAAAAAATCTTGGTGCACTCTGTATATCTGTTTTATTTAACTATATTTTGAATGCTACTCAAAATCAAATGTTGCTTAAGTTTTTATTTTGGTAAAATTTATTCGAAACTTCATATTCTAACCAGATTATCTCATTTTTCTTTCATATTCAAAGAAAGCTATGAAAGAAATTATTTAAAAGCTTAAGGCGGTTCAAAATCCATAGATATTTATGTAAATACGACTTTATACATGCTTCTGAGTTCTGAAAATCGAGTAATAAATGTATTTCCGATAGCAGAAAATTCCGATACTTCAATTTATTCATTATAAATTATAGAAAACTTTTATTACATCAATAGTAATGCGAACTTCAAAGCATTGATATTATATGAGCACATTAATTATATATTTTAGTTTAAAATATATTTGAAAATTCGGAAAAAATCTCAAAAATTCTCCTACGAATTATCAAGATAACTACCAAACCTCAAAGTTGAAGTGAATACTAGGATATTTAAACAAAAACCCTGACTCAACCTGGAATCGAACCCGTACAACCTTGTATGCTAGAAAAGTGCCTTTCCTTCTAAACCATCACGACATTGACTGTCGAGATTTCTAGTTCAGTCCCGAAGGCATTCAAGCTCATTCTCTAATATCTAATGTACTTCTATACGGCATCGGTATATATTAGAAATGCATTTATGCATACTAAGCTCATATGGGGATGCGCTTGTTTTGTCCAGCAGTTTCCGTACTAAGTATTTCAAAACGGGTCCTTGTAAACACGCATTTAAACCACTGTGATTACCTAATTTGTTGGATCGACAGGCGACGGCTGATTTCTATCAACTGACTGTCGAAGGCGTTTCTTCGCGAGCCTTTTTTCAGTAGATGAAGGGGTTTTTCTGCAACACTCTGGGCGAGTAGGTGGCTGCCCTGTATTCAAGATGTCTGTCTAGCATTTCCGCCCCGACGGTAATTGTAAGTATATGTTCAGTTTGGGGTAGGTAGGACCTCTATTTGAGTTTAGCTAGGCTATTTATTTCGGTTTAGAGGTTTGTTTGGTTATTTTGGCCCTTTCCATTATGTGTCAAAATTAAAAAATACATTTAAATCGGTTTCATTTAAATTTCGTTATAATACCAGCATCTGAAGAGGAAAAATTATACCCCTGACTACAATCCTGGTTCAGCATCAGTTGTACTTCTTCTCCTTGAGTCTCATTAATTGCGGCGAATTATTTTTACATCCGAAAAGTTTCTTTGGCCTGTGATTTACAGATGGAGGTAATAAGGCTTTCTGATTTAAGTTCGCTCGGGAATTTTTTTCTTGGATTTTTATTCAATTATCAAGAAAATAAATCTTTAATCTAAAATGCTTTGTGCTCGGTACAAGTCTGTTTAAAAGACTATTATAAAATGAGATTAATTATTTTACTAACGTCTTCTAAACTAAAACTGCAAAATACAAATGAAGATTGGTAAAAATGTAAAATTATCACATTTTACGCTTAGATGCTTTAGGAAAAGATACAAATGCAGATATACTAGATAATAAAGAAATAGAAGAAGCAAGTAAAAATAATAAAGAAACACAAACACATGAAAAGAAAAAAAATACACCAAGAAAACGAAACGGTTTTAATTCCCACGTATACTATGAGTTGCAGTGACCTGAAAAAATATTAAAATGGCTAACACATGAAGCAAATAGAGGAATTTAAGATGTGTGTGATTTTGAGAAGATTGTTCAAAATTCTATAAACTAACCAACAAACAATGGACGCATAAAGTAGAAAGAGAATTTCTATAATTTTTTAACAATTACAAAAGCTTACCATAAAGGAAAAATATCGACTTGAAGAGTAGCATTGGCTCGAGAACGTAAGCGATCGAACTAGCCTCGCTTAGATGTCATCGCACTCTTCAGAGCTGTCACCATCAGCTAAAAAATAGATTTGCCACTAAGGAGAAACGCAAAAGCGATAAAGAAAAAAGGCACCTTCGTCCACGAAACACAAATTACAAAAAATAGAAGAAATAAAAAAAGATCAATACTACTACACCTATGGTAGAACTGGTCATGGATAAATATAACTAAAAGTAACTACCCTTAATGTAAAAGTTGAGATTAAACGGTCAACAATAGATGTTTTATAACAATGAAGAAACTGTAGGATAAACTCTACCAGGTACGTACATATGTTTGCAACCGAAAATGTCCCTATGGTTATATACCAGAGTCATAAGGCCGATGATAATGTACGGGTCGGTGGTATGGTGGCCAAAGACTCGACAAGCTGAAGCCATTTGACATCTCAATGGTATTTAAAGGCAAGCATGTCTAAGTACCACGGGAGCTATGAGAACGACTCCGACAGCAGCTATAGAAGTCATGCTAAACTTAACACCACTACATATATTCATTCAAGGCGAAGCCAGGTCTGTGACATACAGACTGCAAAAAGGTTTATCACCCATCAACTTAGACACATTGTTTGAGAGAAATACAAATTGGTCAATTTGGCAGAATAAGTCTTTGGAAGTTGCTTAAGGAAATAGGTTTTAAATTTAGGAAAGAAGATAACAGAAAAGCTTTATGTGAAAAAAATAATGTTGTTCACAAAAGAATACATTTTTTAAGAGAACACACTCGTTTGAAAGATAATGGAGATTCGTTTATATATTTGGATGAAACCTGGATATTTTCCAAAGGTGGGACGAAAAGAATATGGCAAGATGAAAATATAAAATCAATAAAACATACTAATGGTGAGGATAAGCGACACATAATCTTGCACGCAGGTGGAAAGAATGGATTTGTGGATAGTGCAGGATTAATATTTTCCTCTAAATCAAAATCAGAAGACTACTAGGATAACATGAACTCGGATATGTTTATCAAATGGTTAAATGAATAACTATTACCAAATTTAAGTGAACCGTCTGTTTAAGTGTTAGATAATGAGAGCTCTTACACAGAACTTTTAAACAAACCGCTAAGACAGAATTGGATTGTAGCCAAAATATAAGAATGGCTACGTAACGAAAATGTTGCATTTCCACAATACGCCCTTAAATCTGAGTTGTTAACTTTAGCCAAACGGCATAACCCACCCCAAATTTATATGGTAAATAAAGTCATACATAGTTATGGACATGATGTGTTACGGCTTCCACCATACCATTGTCAGTTTAACTCCATCGAACACATTTGGGGTATATGTAAAAAGTATTATGACAATCATATTGGAATTAATGGTTACAGCGACGAAGCAGTAAGGGAAATATGGAAACAAGCACTGGATACATTAACCCCAGAAATTTGGCAAAAAAGTGTTTAAAAATGTGATAAATTAATTGACGACTGGTGTGCGCGTGAAAACAGGATAAACGAAATTAACTCTATAATTATATCCCTTAATAATGACAGCAAAGTTAGTGACACTAATTTTGAGAGTGATGTTGAAGATTTATAGGTATGTCAAAAGACAATTATTTATAATAATCACTGTTTATTATAGAATTTTAAAAGTTAGGTTATTTTTCATCATCGTACTTACTTAATCGCAGGGTAAAAATGTGTATGTAAATAAAATTTTTTGTTTTGAATAAATTAATATTAAACAACAAAATTATGTAATTATATTTATTAAGCTTTCTGGGGCAAAATTAAATACCTAAAATTTATATTTATTTTGTTTCTATAAAAACCCCTTACAATATACAAAATAACGCCACTCATGAGTAAATGTTTAAAATACAACTGACCAGTCAAATCTTTCATTTATTTCTCAATTCGATATGGGTGTAAATTCAGTGAATTACTTTTAAAACAGAACAAAGACAATTTTCAACTTTTTTAAAATTTCTAGTCTCTACTAAATGAGAATACAAGACCAAGAAAATTACTACATTTTATTGACCGCCGATCTTCATTTTGCCGCTATTTGCCCTAATTTTAAACATAGATGACAATAACTCTGCAGAAATGGATCATTTTTATAGAAATTTGAAGATTCTGAAGGCCAAAGAGATTAAAATATTTGCAAGAAAGAACGAAGGATACCCCATGCCTACAATATAGGAATCTTACAGATTCTGGATAAAACTAACCTTTGCTTATATATAACCAACACAAAATAAATTTAGTACTTTTTGTATTTAAATTAAACATACATAACATATTAATAAATTAGCAATACATTGTCAAAATTAGGATTTAAATACAATTAGAGATTGAACTGATAGATATAATTATTGTATCTTACAAATTCTACTCGCTGTAGCGATTAGCCGCAGTTTCTGTAAGCGGGTCACACAAAGAAGAAAAATAATCTATTGTTTTTACTTTTAATTCAAAAGTTGCTTGTTTATCGCATACAATAAAGGTCTGAGGATGCTTCTGAAACACAGAAAGAATCACCATATGATTAATGTTTTCCTCAACAGCTTTATATAAAGCAAACGCTTTGTCAGAACCAGAGGCATAAAGTACAACGTTCCTCGCATCCATAATAGTGCCCACTCCTGCACTAATGGCACGCTTAGGGACCTTGCTGACATCGTTTTCGAATTGTCGTGCTCTCTCTAACTTTCTAACATGAGCCAAATTTTTAACTCGTGTGCGTGATCCCAACGAGGATGCAGGTTCATTAAAACTCAACTGACCGTCGGGTGATATTTCACCTAAAAATAAATCAAACCCACCATTGTTTTGTATTTTATTCTCATATTGCTTACACTCAGCTACTAAATCTTTTACGTTTCCGTCTGGTATTATAACGTTTGATGGTGATATATCTATTTGTCGGAACAAATGCTTCCACATCTTGTAGTGATAGCTTTGAGGATGATTTTCGGACAGGTTCACGTATTCTTCCAGGTTAAAAATCTTAACGAATTTAAATGAAACTTTTCCTGATTCATAGAATTCTACTAACTTGCTACATAATCCAAGTGCATTGGAGTAAATCGATAAAGCCAGAACGAAGTAATTTCGTGGACCCGGTCTAAAATCATTAATTTGTTTTACGATAAACTTGGCAGCCCATTCGTTAGCTTCTTCTTTGGTGGTTCTAATAATCAGCTTCATTTTGGTATACTTATTTTTATTTAAGGAAAGTAATACCGTATGACAATAAATGTCACAGTAAAAAGTGTAAGATTTTACAAGTATTCTAATCAAAGCAGGCATATATCATTAAAAATAAATCTTATCATTATGTGTACATATAGTCCAAGAGCTGGTAACACACATTCCATTAAGTGTTTGATGCACTTTGAAATTTTGTAATTTGAAATCATTTGGATGGAAAAGCAGATATACCTGTGTTGGCTAGACGCACCCCGGGGCACCAGGTACTGCGCATAATAGAAAGGGGTCGTAAAATATGACCCAAAAAAAAGTGTTTGATTCAGAGGCCAACAAACGACAATTAAAAGTTTAGGTAATTCTAAAAATACTAGTAATTTAGGCAGACACTTTTGAGAGGGTTTATAATTAATAAGTCAACCCCAAAGTTGATTTTTTTCAAATATAATTTGAAGTGTTTGATTCACGCTGAAATTTTAATAGCGTCTTAATTAAATATAAAAAATATTAATTCCAAAAAGGCAGACACTTTTTCCGGGGTTTAATTGCCGGCCAACATAAAAATGAATGAACCTCGTTATGCGCCACTATGCATTGAATAAGTATATACTTTTTAAAAACTACACATTTAAAATTACCAAGACTGTGAAATAATAAAACAATAATATTTTTCCTTTTTTCAGGAAAAAAAAAACAAACAAAAACTAAAAGTTTCGGGGCTCGAACCACCAACTTGTTATCCACACTATCCAAATTTTTATAGTCTGTATGTTAGGGACCTGGCTTAAATAAATATTTGCAGTAGTATTACTTGTAGTATGACTTCTAGGGGTTGTGTTGGAGTCGCTCTTATAGCCTCTATGGCAGTCGAATGATTATCTTTTAATACCGTTGAGCTACCAAATAGCTTTAGCATGCCGAGTCATTGAAAACTATACTATCGACACATCTATCGACCTGTAAGTTGTCATAGGCCTCATGATTCAGGTATACAGCCATAGAGACATTGTTGGTTGCAGTAAGAGTTAAATTTTCGGTCAACTACATGTCAGCCGTTGATATGATCCTTACCGTTTAACACGTTGACTGCCATGAGAAGCACGTGTGCTTCACAGACCTTTAATTTACCTAGGCCGTGAGAAGGATCGTTGCTTCTCAAGCTTTGATAAAATATCGGCGTGTGCGGTACAACACTGCTTCTCGGTACAGGTATAACATTATGGGGTATGTTTTTTGGTGGTCTGGGGAATTTTATGCATATAGTCCGTGTTTTTTTCGGACCTATGTCGAGTAAAACTAATTATTCTGTATAACATTTATTTGTTGTAGATTATTATAAAGTCATTACATAAACAACAAAACCTAAAAGATGCTTCTAATTTTATTTTTTGAAGTATAATTAAAAAAACAAAAAAATGAAATTCTAATAAGAAAATGGTTGCTAATATATTGCAGCTATGAACATTACAAAAACACGTAATGCAGTAAAATGTGTCACACTAAATGCACCTGAAGCGAGAAAAAGGCGTTTTGTTTTGTGCAAATTTTCGCCCATTTTCAGAGGAAAATTTTGCGTAACATGTCACGCATCTTCTGCGGGCTGTAGAGTGAACTTCTTCTAAATGATGACCATCGCGAATGCGTGATCTAGGCGTATCAATATTTTGAAGCTTAGGAAGGTCTAGGAAATTGCTGACTAGCTCCTCTTTTAAGAAAAGGATAGACATTTTGTGGTTGGTGATTTTCTGATGCATTATATAGGCGTTCACTATTACTGATCCCAAAAGAAGTTCAATTGCTATCTTGCTAAACCATTTCACAGACTTTCGTAATGCAGTTGAGTAGGACTTCATTTGGTCCGAAATGTCTATGAAACCTTTGCTTCTTTTGTAATTAAAAATCGCAGATGGCTTTTTTACTACTCCACCATTTCAAGGTTGTTTGGTACTTGTATTGATGCATCCCTTTTATCTTTTATTTACTTACTATTATGCCAGCGTTACTTTCCCTTCCAATTATTTCTCCCATTTTTTTAGTTTTGCTTCTGTCACTTCTTTTGAATTATGCCTCCGGTTCTGCTCAAATTTTTCACTAAATGTGTCTTTTTTTTTAGTAAACTGTGCGCTAGTGTAACATTAGTCTAAAAGTTTTCCGTGTATATTGTACGGCCAGAATCTAACAAGTCATTAGATAAACCAAAAACAATACTGTCCGGAACCGATTGATTTTCAGTTTTGTCATTGCCACTATATATTTTCAGGTCATTCGTAAATCCTCCATTCAAGCAAAGTTTATACAATTTGACGCCAAACTTGTTTTTTATTTTTTATATACTGCATAAACGGTAGGCGACCCCAAAACGGGACAAGAGTCTAGTCAATACACAAACTTTCACCCGGGTAACTATCACTTTTTTGAAGTTTGGTATGAGTTTCTCTAAAAGTGGTATCAGTTTATAGAGTCTCAATTGTTTGTCACTGCTTTCGTTATCACTAAAGTGTAAATTCGCCAGTAACAACTCAAATCTGTTGCGCGACATAAGACTTGATATTTTATTTGAGTACAACGCATTTTTAGACCAATAAGCACTTAGCTTTGGTAACTTTTTTAGTCCCATCCATATAAGTATAGAAAAAAAGTTTTTTTTTCTTCTTTGTTTGTATTGGTCCACTTATTTATTCTTGGGCCCACCTTTAGTAATTTTTTGACGAGCGTATCTGTTGGTTTATTTAACGATTAATTCCATAATATCATTGTCCATGAAAAGTTGAACAAAATCGTGAGGTTTTTTATCAAACATTTCAAAATATTTATTTTTGAAACCTGAATCTTGAATATTACAGGGAATATTGTGTAACTTCTGGCCATCAACTTTTTTCCATGACAGTGGTTCGCCTTGGTCAGCACCCAACTCTTCTTCTGAAGAACTTTTCTCATCCGCGATTTGATATTGCAATATAACGGCTTCAATTATGTCGTCTAATCTAGAAATTATTATTTGGGCAACGTGGTGCATACTTGCAATTACTAAAAACCTAAAAAACAGTGTAATATTGAAAAACAACGATTTAAAATGTTAAGCAATACATTTTTTACTTATATAGTAGGTTGGCTCAAAAAAGTTCATTTTTTATCTAATGATGGCAGTCAACGTGTTAACTAATTCAATAGGTAATATTTCACTGACTCAACTGATTAAGGCTATTCAGAAGTGGGCCGTTTTGTTTGTTGATTTTTGTTCAGGGTGTAAATAATTGTTATCATAGAGGGTATGCGTTGATATATTTTTTTAATTTTATTTTTATATTATTTTAAATCCAATATATGTCTCTCCATTATTTTGGCGTATTAGTGTAGTTGTTGTATCGTTACTGATTTCCTTGTTCTACTATTCCCTTAATTTTCTATTAGTGAAAAATTTTATACAAGCGCAAGCAACGATTTAAAGCTCATTGCTTGTATCTACTTATTGATTGTGTCTAAGTAATGTTTGGTCCCTGGAATTTTGTATCTCCATCTGTAGCTCCCATTTACTTTCGTCGTCGCTTCGAGAGTTTGTGAACCACATTAAAATAATATAGCGCCCGAGAGCCGTTCGTAACAAGCGTCACTCGTAAGGAACCGTTTTCTCTGTAGTAAGAAAACCTCTTACAGTCCTAGCTCACTGCCCTGTGGACACCTATTTTAATTTTTTTCATTTCGGAATATGTCTCTTCTTACTTCACTCAAAAACTTTCTCTCCGTTAAATCAAATTCAAAATGAACACTCCCATTTTGTTTAGTCTTCAATAATTTAATGTTTCGTTTTATATCTAATTTTCTTACAAACTTTTTTAGCTATTAAGTACCTTATTTTAGTAAATTTAAGTCTGATGTTTGAAAGTTTAAAACAAGTATTTTTTTTAATAAAAACTAATTTGTATTGTTAACTAAAGTATTATAATAAAACAACTTTTGTAAACCTAATTGACACGTTAAAGAGATAAATACTAGTACTGAAAACTTTAGGAAATAATTTAGTCAGTTCTTTAAGAGATCTTATTTAGCGATTTTACATTAATACCATTGGCGACTCGTAATATATTTATGTGGATGGTTCCTAGTATCGAAATACAATCCACAGTGGCCATTTAAATTAACATATTCATCTCTGTGCGGTTATGTAATTTTGAAACACCCAAATTTAAAATTTGATTTTAATTCGTCAACATGTCTCTCAATCTAAAACTCAATAAACCAATTTTTATCACTCATTTACAGTGGGTTTCGGTTAATTTATATTCATCGTGTGATTAAACCTATCCCAAAAAAATGACAGGGATAAAATTTTACCCAATCAGTAGATCTGAGGACTAAATTATAATTGGATAACACCATAGGCGGACAAGGTTAAAAATTTTTAGTCTTTATTCAGATTGACGGGATTTCATTTTTATCAAGTAGGTTACCCGATGACATTAGCAACTGATTTTTTTTCTAATATGAAATTCAATAACCTGCCATTTATTTTGAAATTTGTATGTAAGTGAGGTCGACTATGGTTGGTAGTTGGATACTAAAATTCATAGCCATTAACTGAGAATGCTTGTAACATTAAGAACTTAAGAACTGCTGGAACAAACCATAATGATGGCGATTACGGTTACTATATCTTGTGGATTTCTATGTCTGTGATTCTTACGATATGGTGGGTCAAGAAAAAATCTTTTTACTCCAAATTTTGTTAAAATTATTGAGCACAAAAATTGCTGTGTTAAAACTATAATGAACCTGTCTAACTGTCAAGGAGTCAGACTCAGACAACTAGTGTACGTCAATATTTATACACTTGGCAAGGATTCAAGATTTCTATTAAGACATCGTATAATTGGCAAATACTGAAATTAAAGTAATTTACTTTCTTAGCCTTAAAAAATCTGAGAAGAGATTTGTGATGCTAAGTGTTTTTAAGCATATTACTTTACCGATATATCTTTTATTTTCGTATTCAACTTTACCAATTTGCCTTTAGTCTTTCTCGAAACTAAATGTAAATATTTAGTTAAAAAACGGAAAAATTAACATTATACCGGGTAATTAAA